TAATCAACCAATCAATCAATCAGTCAATCAATCAATCAATCAAAAAGAAAAAACAGCACAGAAGAAGAAGAGGTGCGCGGGGAGACACTACGTTCTGTCGGGAGGGCGAGCGAAACGGGGTAAGTGTATATTCCCGTGTAGTGGCGGAAGATTCGTTCGGATCGACTCATTCCATCGAGCGGGGTAGCGAAGAAGCGATGGTGCGGGATTGAAGCACTTACCTCGTATCGCTCGCGGTGTACGTTCCCATATTTTAGCGGGAGATTCATTTGTACTAGGTCCACTTACTAGGCCGGGCAGAGGGGCACGCGGTAGTAAGTCCCGACATAGGCGAAGGGGAGGGTTCCGGATACGTACTTGACCGGTGCGTTGTCCACCCCGGTCGACTGAAGTAGCGGGCGGTCGAAGAAGAAGAAGAAGAAGAAGGAAAAAAAATCAATTAACATGGCAAAATTTATAGGAGGACTCTGACTCTATATCAGTCACGAAAAAAAGGAAAAAAGAAAATCCTGCTTTTTTTTAATTTATTTTTATTTTTTTCCTTTTTAACTGAGTTTCGTTTTTCATTTTTTATAAATCCTAAATGAGGTTAAATTCGAAAACAAAATATATAGGGTTGTAGGGTTTTCAAAACCCTACAACCCCGTATATATATATATACATATACATATATGTTTGTTGTCCTCTTCTCCCTCTCTGCCTACGGTTTACCGGGCAGTTCTATTTGACGATATATATATATATATACAGGGTTGTCAGGCCGAACGTACGGAGGCCCCTAAGCTGACCCCCGAACGTTCGGGCGTTCGGGTCCCCGTACTGGGCCCGAACTAGAAGGGGTTCGGACCCGGCAAAAAAATATTTTGGTACCTAAAAATTATTATTATTATTATTTTTTTTTTGTGAGTTCTCTGTTATGTAAGCTACCTGTCTCTCAATTTTGAAGTCATTCTGTGGAGCCAAAAATAATGAAAAATCGGGAAAGATGGCGGTGTCAAAACTTGCTTTCCCACTTACTAATTTGTTTTTTTTTCTCTTCTCGCTTTTCGTTTTCCCTTTATTTAGGGACCTGAAAAAAAATATTATTTTTTAAGACTTTATTTGTAGGTTCTCTATTATGTAAGATACATATGTATAAGATTTCATGGAATTTGACAAAGCCAAAAAAAAAAGAGAAATCGTCAAATATGGCGGTGTCAAAAACTTGCTCGCCCACGGAATAATTTTATTCTCGTTTTATTTTTTCTTATTTTCATTAATATTATTTATTTTTCGTATTTGTATTTTGGTTCAAATTTGGTTAGGAATTTGGATGTACTGTTAGGGCAAATGTTGTTTAGTTTATTCTTCTGCATGACATATTGTTTTTTCAGAATTGTTGGAAAATTTGTGTTTTTTTTTTTTTTTTTTTTTTTTTGGTTCCGTCCGAACGCGTGGAGAGGGGGTCCCAAACGTTCGGGCGTTCGGGTTCGGGTGTTCGGCCCGTCCCGAACGCAGGCAACCCTGTATATATATATATATATATATATATATATATATATATATATATATATATATATATATATTCACTTATTTTTCGACCACCAAAAAAATATAGAAAAAAACGGGCCGCAAACTAGGCCTCCAGTCCGCGGCCGCGGCGGCCGAATTCCCCGTGGCCTAGGCCGTGGGTGTCACATAAGAGTGGGTTTCCATCCGGGTCTCCAGATGAGTGGAGTCTGAAAAACACCGGCCTGGAAAATTTTTCCCAGGACGTCGGGCAGTGGGATCCATCCCAAAGGCCGCCTTCGCCACACCTTATGTCGAAGTCCCAGGATAAGCAAAGTTTTGTTGCTAGAAAAGGAAAAAAAAAAAAAAAAACAAGAAGAAGAAGCCACGGGATGTCCAGGCAGCGCCAGTACCCGGACCCTCCTAGAGGTCGAAATCCGCTGCAGGCGGGCCTTTCTACACCCATGTCTAAACCACTTCTCTGACGATTGTCTATGTGTTTTGAACAATTTTTCTTCGACAGTCTGTGTGGCGAAGAAAAAATGTTGAAAACTCCAAATTGGTGTGGCGAGGCCCTAACTGTCAGAAAAAATTCAAAAGAAGTGGGGTCTACAGTTTACCCCCCCTTTGCCACACAGGCTGTAGAGGGGCAAGTTTTTTTTTGGTCATGCCAAGTGGACTCCGCCTTTCAACAGGGCACAGGTGTCACGGAGCAGTCCCTGACAACGCAAATTCGAACGCAATTCTTGAAAGGCAGGTGGGGCATTTTCAAATTTCTGTCTCCTGCAGGCAGGAGGAAAAGAATGGGGGAGGTGGATTGTCGAGGTACCATTCTGACGGCCTCACCACACCACTCAGACTGTCGAAAGGCGAAAGAATTCGACTGCTGTCAGAATAAGTTCGACAGCTGTCAGAATAAATTCGACAGCTGTCAGAATAAATTCAACAGCCTCTGCCCCCCTTTAGCCACACAGCACTGTAGAGTGGACGCATGTGTGAATGCAAGATGGAAAAAGATGGGTGCGCCTGAGGGTACTACAAACATTAGTCCATCCCGACCTCACGCCCACTCACCAAATTTCGAAGAGAAGTCGATGGTGCAACCGAGGACTGTCGAAGGCATAGGAGTAGCAGGCTGGGGATTGGGGAAAGTCATAAAACCTCCCCGCTACAAAACCTTTGTATCCATTTCCCCCAAACGGGGAAAAGAGTGCCGCAGGTCCCAAAATCACTTTTGGTTGTCATTATTGCACCCTGGCTGGGCGGGTAAGGGCGGCTGTGTAAAAATGGTGGGAAAGTGTTTTGCAGGGTGTGCAAAAATGATGCCTAGAGTGATATTGGGGCCTGCAGCACCTTTTTCCCCATTTGGGGGGAAATGGATACAAAAGTTTCTGCACGGGGAGATTTTATGAGTTTTCCCCTGGGGATTCAACAACTTTCGACAGGATGAGTCGAGAAGCATTCTCTGACAAGTTGCGAACTTTCTTCCTGTCTCCAATTTCGACAGCCTGTGTGGCCAAGCGAAACTATAGAATATCGCTTTTTCTACAGTGGTGTGGCAAGGCCATGACACCTGTTGAAAATTTTTTGAGCCGAAGTCTGTGTGGCAATGCAAAATTGTCGTGTGTGGCGAGCCTCTAAGGGCCTCGCCACACCAGCCTCGAAATGCGAAAATGTTTCGAGAGTTGTCAGACTTTTTCGAGAGTTCTGTTTTCGAGAGTTGAGGCCCCTTCGCCACACAGCACTCTCGAAACCTCTACTCTCGAAAACGGGCTTGTCCATCTGGATGTTCTCAAGAGTGCACACTCTTGAACATTCCAATGGTGCACTGATGTCCGCCAAACCCCGAGTCCGCCCTGGTGCTTCAAGAGTAGACTCTTGCGAATGGCATGACCGATCCCACTGCCGTGTCAGGGTAACGGCCTGACAACTCTCGAAAATCAAGGGCCCTTCGAGTGCCCTCGGGAGGACGCTTGAAAAGAGCATGCTGCAGGCTGGGCGTTACGGAGCTTCGAGAGCTACTCTTGAAACGAGGTTCTGACAACTCTTAAAAGAGTTTTCAGGCGACAACTCTCAAGTGGCTGTGTGGCGACGCGTCCAACTCTTGAAAACGCGGTTTCAAGAGTGGTGTGGTGTGGTGAGGCCCTAAGGGCCTCGTTCCACTACTCGCCATAAATCGTGGCGAGGAGCGGCGATGCTCCAAACCAGGAAATTGTGGCGGGAAAAGGCGCGTGGTTCCGCTTCCTCGCCACGGCCACGCGAGCTGGGGTTTCTATCCCGGTAGACACAATGGACTGTGGCGGATGGCAAGGCAATGGAACGGTGTGGCCGTTTTGCCACGGTTTCAGAGTGGGACCAGCCCAGGCCTGGTTGGGTGGACTTGTGGTTGGGCAAGGTTTGAAGGTCCAGCATCCAATGGCGTTCCCTGGATCGTTCCCTTCGGGAGACCCAGTTGGAACTCGCTCTCGACATTTTCCAACGCAACTCCGACAGCTCTTGAATGGAATTTCAGGATGCGGCATCAAGAGTTAGTGCAGCGGTGACGAACTCTTGATTCTCTTGATTTCTCAAGATTCAAGAGTAGTGCAGCGAGGCCCATAATTTTTCGACGCCCGCCATCTGCCCTTTTAATAGCTGCCTCTCTCTCGTTGCCAGGCACGGTGTGAACAAACCGGGGCAAACTCCCTGGCTGCACTTCCCCGTCCTCGATCTCCCTCATGCACCAGCCTTCACTAAAACTTCAGCCCCTTCCATCCCCTGCTCGCAGCCCCTTCCATCAATTTTAAGACCCAATGATAATCAGGACATAATAAAATCCTCGGAAGGATGCTACCACAAATTGGAAAATAAATTGAATCTGATATCAGAACTCTGATTTTTTTGATTTTTTTTTGAAACTCTTTGATTTGTGAGATTCAGTACCAGAATGTGGAGTTGGTGACAACTACTACAAGCCCAATGCTACAGTGCCGTAACACTTTTACACGTCCGCGACAGCCAACTTGAATGATGGCAAGACGTCCAGCGCATACCCGGTCTTGCTCTAAGATATTTCTCCCTGAATCTAATATATGTTCCACACATCGAAATATTAGCTGTTTTAGCTCTTGGCCCGCACAGTGACTTTCACCTGCCAGCAAGTGAAAGATTTCAACACCTTCCAGCCTGCTGGGGTGCGCAATGCAGAACACCTTCCATATAACAGTTAATAAGCAGATCAGGAGCTAGAATTCTATCCAATACTACAATGTTAGTGGCTATCACTCGCCAAGACACAAATGACTTGATATATATATTACAAAAAGAGAATTAAATTTTATCCAATACTAGAATGTTAGTGGCTAGAGCTCTTTGATTTTTTGGATTTTTTTTTAAACTCTTTGATTTGTGAGATGATCTCTGGCCGTCGCAGTTACTTCAAAACTATTAAAGTCTGTCGTTTAAATTGAGAAGATTCAGTACCAGAATGTGGAGTTGGTGACACTACTACAAGCCCAATGATACAGTGCCGTAACACTTTTACACGTCTGCGACAGCCAATGATGGCAAGACGTCCAGCGCATACCCGGTCTTGCTCTAAGATACCTTTCGCTGAATCTAATGAATGCTGCACACATCGAAATATTACCAGTTTCAGGTCTTGGCACGCACAGTGACTTTCACCTGCCAGCAAGTGAAAGATTTCAACACCTTCCAGCGTGCTGGCTGTGCGCAAGGCAGAACACCTTCCATGTAACAGTTAATAAGCAGGTCAGGAGCTATTGAATTTCTCAGTTCTCATACTTTCCCTCACTCTAGGAGCACTTTGTGATGCTCTTGTGACGCAGCATCATCGTCCTTGCAGATGGTATGCTCTGCCTCTGACATCGCCAGAAGGTACTCCATGTCCATTGTTCTGATCAAGAAGTCCCATCCTACATCGAGAAGCATGCTGTGGAAGCGCTGCACAACAGCTCGCATTGCCGGCCGTGACCCATAATCCTCATGGACACATTCCCACGCCAGTCTGAAAGTGCTCATCACCATCTGCGTCGTAGAGTCTCCCGCCATCTGATCCCACAAACAGCGGTCAAGAATAGCACGTGGCATGTCCAGGCTCGGGTCTTGGGCTGTTTCACTGTCGGCCCGAAGGAAAGGCTTCACCCAGTCCACCAGTGTCTGCCATCCCACCCCAGACGGCGCCCGTGTGACCACCTTCCTTCCCGTCAGCAGCTCCAGTACGAGAACCCCAAACGAGTACACATCATTCTTCTCGGACAGCTCGCCCCTCAGCATGTACTCCGGCGACATGTACCCGAAGGTGCCACCAATGTGCGATGTGATCACAACGTGGTCGTGCCCTGTGTCCAGCACCCTCTCCCCGATGGCCGCCAATCCGAAGTCAGCGACGACTACGTAAAGTTTGTCCCCACAGCCATCGCCAAGCAGGACGTTGCTGCTCTTGATGTCCCGATGAATGATGGGAGGCTTGGCATCATCGTGTAGGTACTGGAGTCCCCTGGCAATCTGGAAGGCAATGCTCATGCGCTCCTGGAGAGGGAGCGGCGGAGGGGAATCCTCTGCGAGCTCCCTCTGGTTAGAAGTGTGAGGGAACAGCCGCTCGTGCAAGCATCCGCCTCTGAAGTACGGGTACACCAAGATGCACTGGTTGCCCTCCTGGCAGTAACCAGTGAGCTGGATGAGATTGACGTGATTAACTGCACTGAGAGTGTTTACCTCCGCCACGAACTGGTTCCGTTTCACGTCCGTCAGCTCACCGGTCATCACCTTGATTGCCACGTCCTTGCCATCGAGCGAGCCCCTGTAGACTTTCCCGAACGCCCCTTTGTCCCCGATGCGATAGGTGTCGCTAAAATTCTCCGTGCAATCCGACAGCAGTTTCCAACCAAACTGCTTGACGCGGGAGGGCCTCAGTCCCCAGAAATCCATAGCAGTGCAGTCCTGTACGGATGAAGTCGTCGGCCGGCCGTTGTTAACGGCATGGTTATTACTGACCTGTTCCAGAGCTCGACGTCGACGCTTTCGAAAACCACGAACGCAAAACGCGATGCAACTTGCTATTGCTATAAACATAAATATCAGAGGAGCATATATAAATGTGTAGATTACTGAAGTACCCAACAGCGAGGGTACAACAACTAATATGAAATAGATAACGCCTGCGAGTCCTGACGGAGGCAGATTAACCGGAAAAAAAATCAGTGCACGTGTATATCCGTGGATGGGATAGATGTCGCTGTCTCCTTCCATGTACGGTTTCTGTTCACAACGGCTGAGTTCCCACCTGTCTAGCGGAACGCGATAAACGCTGCCATCGCTGGTTCCAACATAGAGGCTTAAGCCGTCGCCGTTGTCACCAAGTGCCAATGCCATAACATCCGCTTCGCCGAAATAACGTGGGAGCGGAGACACCTCTCTCGGCTGGCCGCATGTGCTTTCGGTCGTTCTGAAGAAGCTGAAGACCAGAACTGTGTTGTTTGCGGTCATGAACACGTGACATCCTTGAGGCGTTGCAACCACGTCCATCTCTTTCCCCAGGAAAGGAACGAAAGGGGGTGCGATTGAAGACTGGTCGAAATGTCCATCCCCAAGCTCCCTCCCGAACAACTCGCCATTAGAAGTCACGGAGTAAAGGCAATTGCCCTCAGAGAGAAGGCTTCCAGATTGGAACTCCTCGTCAGGATCGATACCCGTTTGAAAGCCCAAACGGGTTACCTGGTTCAGAGGGCCGTTTGGAAGCCCGACATCGTTCACGGTGACGTTAATTAATGCAGAATCAAGTTGCAAATAGTAAAGAAAACCCTTGTTAGACTCTAACGCCCACGCCTGGACCAATTTGCTCAATGGGTCGGAGGACGACCGAGAGCCGTCAGCGAGCGACAAAGATGTGAACCTGGAGCGAATTTGGTCACCCGATATGGTTCCACTGTCCCATATTACTTTTGGGTCCCCATTGGTTACGCTCAAGACGAGATGCATCCCATCTTTCGACAGACCCATTCCTGTCACGTGAGCATCTCCAAAATCCGCTGGTTCGCGGATTATTGTCCCGTTCGGCTGCCCGAATGGCCACATGTAACTTATCAAGGAGTCGTCCTCCTCCTGCGGGCTCGAACCGTTGCCGTCCTGCACCTGCGATAAGTTCAGTCTCCTAATCGACAACGCCCGACCCTCGAGAATACCATCCACTGGGCAGGACTGGTGCAGGATATAATACAATTCACCCGAGCCTACCACCAGGTCCGTAATTACTGACCGGCAATCTTTCCCCGCCGTCTCATTCGCCCGCGGGGTATGCAACGTCACGCGCGTGACGGAACCGTTTACAAACGGGGAATACTCTATCTGCTGCTCTTTCTGCGGTGTCGCTGGAGCGGCACTCGTCGACTCCTGAAGAAGGCGATCATCCGCGTGCCAGCTGGGCTCGGAGGCAAGACTCCTAACGCCGGTTCTATGAGCTGATCCCCGGCAGGCTGTGAGTACGAGGACCAGATAACAGCCACACACCATAGTGGCTGCTGCTATTGCCATCAAATAGACTGTGACCAATCGCGCCCGGGCAAAGAAATAGACACGAAGACGCCTGCAATGATCACATAAAGCGATATAAAGGTCCGTAAGAGGACAGGAGAGCTTCATATCCCCAACGCGTACAGCTGCTCACCCACGCTTAGGATTCACTTTAGAAACCCCTCCGCCCCAACCAAACTGTTTCTATACTGCCCAACTGAAATCGCCTTCCCTTACTGAACTACAACTCCCCACGCCTGATGCGCAAGTCACCAGAGTTAGTGCATACTCACATGAATTGGATTGCCAGGACTGAATCCATCCCTGAAGACGGACAAATGCCGCCAGCACAGACCCAGTTGGAGTGCTTGCCGTCGGTGAGCTAGCACTCTAACGCTGACTGGCTGTGATGAAGATGGAGCTTCCGTTAATCTCTTCCATTCTGCGAGCCGTCGGCAGCCACGCGGCGACACGAACCCGCGGGCATTGAGCGGCTCAATCGAACACCAATTAGGATCCAAAAATGAACTAAACAAAAAACGGCGGGTGAAGTCATCCCTCGAGCTCATCCGCGCTCAGCGCCTATTCCTATCCTTTGCTCCCCCGCGGTCGCTGCCTCCATGGTGTTCCCGAGGGTTTTGAGCGATCGCGGCAGTCGTCACGTGAAAGCAAAATTCACAAGTCAGCGGTACATGGCAGGTTGCTCACCGTAAACCGACATCACGTTGTGACAAAAAAAAAGAAAAACAAACCTCTTTGCTATCTGAAAATCAAAGACTGGATGTCGACGGCTCACGCAAACGCAGTTGCGTCCTTGCGGAAAAAAATGATAAATTGATAATCAAATTCAGAGAGTGAGGAGACGGGGCAGGTGGCGGGAGAAGCGCCCGACATGTACCGTCAAAAGGAATCGGCATCACTATGGCGGGCCGTCTCTGACTGTGCCCTGCAACATGTCCGTGATGATGCGTCGGGGGACAGTGTGACAAGTAAGGGTCTTGGAGAGCGAGCGAGCAAAGAGAGAGAGAGAGAGAGAGAGAGAGAGAGAGAGAGAGAGAGAGAGAGAGATCGGGGGTGGAGAGGCGGGCGGGCTGTAAGGGACTCTCAATGGGGCAGCCTACGTAACGGAACTTCGACATGTAATCTCATGTGCACCATAGGAGTCTAGTAGAGAAGTGCCAGCCAGTGCACGACTAAAGCAGTGGGTGAGAGTATGCTTTTGCGATGGAGATGCCTTGTCCCGCCAACGTCACAACTGACGGTGAGAAACTGCCACGCGCGGAAACACACAC